AAAAACATACTCTGTTATATGTTCTGCTCTTTGGTTCAAATTTGCTTTGGAAGAGAGTTGGATAGAAAATGATAATGTCGTTCGGTTTTGCATCGTATTTTTTGAAAGCTTTAGGATCTGAGACCCAGGCCATGTGTTTGAAATCCTGAAATTATCGAGTTTAATCAAATAAAGTTTCGAACATTATTTCAAAATTTATACCTCACGAAGCATCTCTGCAGTATCAGAAAATGGCTCATAGGCTGAAGACGATTCACTTTCAAAGAAGCCAATGATTGTCACGTCTTCCTTGGCCATGAATCTGAAAGCAAATTCCAAATTTATATGAAAAAAAGTATATTCTGATCCATAACTTTCATCATTTTTCAATAAGATCGCATCAGTGATATGAACAAAATGCCAAAAACTCACCTCTCTACCTCTCCAACACTGCCAAGTGTTTTCAGCGCTGGCAGAGCTTGATCATTCATAAATTTCACAATTCCGTAAGCTTCACGTGGCCCAATGTATTCGAACCTAAATATGATCACGTTGTAGTATCGACACAGCAAAAAATTGGCTATTTTACTACAAACCTTCTTCCGTTTCGCATAACTTTTAGTGTTGGGAATCCATTGACTCCATACTTTTCTGCGAGATCTTTCTCTACCGTCGCATCCACCTTCGCTAGCTTGATGGGGCTGCCTTGGGCCTTAAACATAGAAGAAAATTTTGCATGCGTCGAGAAGTTTAAGTGGAAGCGCAATAAAATGACACGAAAATAATTCATTGTTTAAAAATCCAAAATTCATAAGGCGTGTGGTGTTGCGCTCATATTAATCTCTACATTTGACAAACAAGCTATTCACGCAAGTATAAGAACTCAGATATCCTTCTTCTTAAACTTCTCGAACTCAGATAGTGAGAAACAAAATGGAAGAGATAAAAAGACTAGATCGGCTGTGGAAATTCCTAAAACTCTACTGGAGAGAAGGTTAATTAGATGACAGTAATTTTTTACACTATTTCTCGTGTACGCTGATCAGTGTTTACTGTTTACATTCGACAAAAAATCAAACTGCAGTCAAAAGCGGCCGAGTAGA